TTATAACTTTACCGGTACTCGATATCAATCTTTGCCTTAACTAAAGTTTACTACTGGAATTTTCCTGCATCCGCCATTTTAGTTTAATTTTTGTCTGATTATTCTTACCATGAAATGATTCTAAACGAATTTGCTTTTTTATAGGATAACAGTAAATCGTTCGGGACTTATGGAATAAACCATCACCATTACCATCATCACCGTCACCTAGTGATGTATTAGGAAAGAAACAAAGTATTGATATAATTGTTATCATTCTTCGATATTCTTGACTAATCATTTGTTGTTAGCAAGCTAGTGAGGCCAGATTGAATGCATGATATCGATCTACTTTATGAATTTCCTAATATACAAGGATTACGTTCTCTACTTTGAATATTACCTCACCATTATAATCAACCTATCGTAATCAAGAAAACTCCGAGATTAATAAACCGAATGAGAGAAATAATAAAATTATATCTAGAAAATATGATAACGATAACTCCTTATTCGCGACTCTTTTTGATGTTCTTATTTTAATTCTTTCTATGCGTGTCATCATGAGCTGATTTGGTTGGATAATGACTCCATGGTTATTATCATTGAATTTAAAATTGTTCATGGTAATAAAGTTTATCCAACATGGCTCGCGAAGGATTAATCACTGTATAGTTTACAAAATTCCGTAAAACTTTAAAATTTTGAGTTAGATTAGGATAAAATTTTTATTTTTTTTATTTTTCGTCACTTGTAATTACATGTTAATTTATAAAAAAAAATTCATATAAAAATAAAATTTTTTCTATAGCATCTATTTACATCTGGATATTTTTATTTATGTTACATGAATAGAAAAATTTCGTTAATTATAATTTCAGAAAAACATCACATTAATAACATTTCGAGTTAGGTCGATATTATTAAAGGCTAGCTTCGAACTGGCATTGTTCGGGCTAAGACAGCAAATTTCAATAAATGCGTTATCATATCCAGGATGATTATTAACGGATTTAGGCAAAGACTTAATAAACTTGTATTGTGGATAACGAGTCCTTGCATATTTACTAATAATTTATAGCGATTAATGAATATGTGTGATGTATAAGAATTATAACTATTTAGTGATATATAGCGATTTTATCAAGTTATACAATCATGATTCAAATTTGAATTAATGAATTTTGCCAAGAATAACGTTATATAAATCGATTTTCTATTATTAAAATTTCATATGAAAAAAAAAAAAAATTACGTGCGCGACAATTTGTCACGCCAATCACTTTTTCTTAAGAAAAATTTCGATCTGTGGGTTAATTAATACATGTCCGTGCAATAAACACTATTATGCATATGAAAACCGGCATATAGCCATTTTATTATTATTCCGATGCACATACGCATACCCGCACCACACTGGTTAAAATTCACAACGTATATCATATTTGAAAATGAAGCTTACATAGGCATGATAAATTATAGCTAACATGACTTGTAATTAATGTTTGGCAAATAATTCGATTCGGTTGGATTCGAGTGTCAAAAGACTTTTGCATTCGAATCAAATATGACCCGATTTTTGCGGAACAATACTTGTAATTATTTTCACATACATCACTTTCTTGGATTGCTGTGTCCTTAAATAAAATTCAAAAGTTTTAATGTCATAAATTAAAGCGAAATCTAAATGCACTCATAAAACTTACCTGTCATACCAAGTAAACTTCTCAATCGATCAACTCTCTATTAACCTTTGGAATTACGACCCACGCAAATCAACCCACTGTACACGTAACTTAATCATCGATTCACTCTTATTTACCATTATATTCTCCAACCTAACATCCCATGAATCACTCCCCTTGCGTGTATAGCCTGTAAACCCTCGATGGCCAATTTTTCCCTTTCCGTGACATCATCTAATTCCGCAAAAGATTTTCCAGAAAGCGATGTTAAAATAAAAACAAAAACCTCGTTAAAGATTCCGAATGTTAGAAGCTTCGGTGTATATATATCGAATCCATAAGAGGGCCGAGATAGATCTTGATTTTGTTAGAATTTCTTGAATAAGTACTCAATTTTATATAAGTCTGCCATTTAAAAGCGCCTACTTTTCCGCAAAGCTTGGCTTCAATACTAACTCCAGATCGAACATTACCTAACCATCGACAAAAGAAAACTGGCTGCGTTCATAGTTTTTCATATCTTCAAGTTTTTCGTCTTCATTATCATCCCTTTTTTTTTGCCATACCCCGAGTGGTTACATTTAAAGTCAACCACTTCCTCTTAGAACTCGATAAGACAGGTCATTTTCCTATCATCACCCTTATCGTTGCCATCGTCATCATCGTCATCATCATCTCCTTCGTTACTATCGGTAGGTGATAAAGGTGTGCATTTCGATGTAAATAGAGTTTCATGATAGTACACACATTCTAAGAATGAGGCTTGAGTAGACGTGTGGTTCTGATTACAGGAGAATATAGATGATGTTCGAATTGTTATGATCACAGTAGAAAACCATGTTCGAACATAAGTCGTAAGCGTCGTATCGAAGGTCATTAACGACCATATAGCCAAATGTGTGTCTAACTATCTGATGATACTTTTATGTTTAGTAAACATAGTAGTTCATCATCAGCCGCTGTCAATGCTCTGTTATAAGCCTCGTACAAATCTAATCCATTGTCCAGCAACTGTCTCATCAGCTGATCGGGCTTAATTTCTATTATTGATAGTACTTGAGATGCTCCACCTTGTTTGAATAGTTGCTTATAATCGGCATTGCAACGTATAACATCTGGTTGACCTTTTACTTCCCCAAACAAATAACGCTTCCCCCAACGTTCTGGCCTTGGTAAAAGAATTAATCTTTGATTGTTTATAGATTTCATAACATATCAACAACCGAATCTACAACAGATAAAAATCCTCTGACGTGACGAAGTCGGTCTAATTAAATATACGGTTTCTTACATCAAGAGATGTTGATATATTAAAAAGCTTCGGCAAGATAGTCTTCCCATAACCGAACAGGTTCATTCGGCATTTTATTGACGCTGATTCTGTTGTGTATAATGACTTAAACTTAAGTAATTCAGGAACAGGAAGAATTATTTGTTAAAGTTCTTGCTCGGTGAAGAAGCCCTTAAGGTGAGAAATAAAAGATGTTTATGAAATGAAATGCCAGCAAGACAGAAACAATCGATATTATTAACAAAAACTTCGATTGAATTTACTGATACGCACTACTTGAGTCTTCTTGATCAGTGTCGTCTTAATTAATAAATTTTTTAGGTATTTCTAATTCCTTTTGACTAATTTTCTTCAGTGTTTTCGTTTTCAATTATATCGAGGTAAGTCATTTTTGAAATATTTGAAATAATGATGTGATTTTAAATACGAGTTTCTTACACTTCTTTTCTATAAATACCAGATTTCCGTAATATTTTATCCCACTTATATGCACAGCGTTTAAAGATTATACAATATTTTTTGCCTATCTATACTCTCATAAAATTCCACTCCGCCATATATTCGTGCATCGATAGTGCACGTGAGGTTTCTTATGATCAATATACTGAAAATAAGTATGACTTATCACCTGCAATAGAAAATTTTAATACACCATATGAAGTTTTTATTTTCATTGTTATTGTCATTATCTCCCATTTTTTTTTTAAAAAACCATCAGAATTAAAAATAATACTATTATTACAAATGAATTAAAGGAACATTTGATTTCTAAATACATAAAATCATTTATAGAATCATATGAATATCTTTTTATAGAAACTTTTACATTAAAACCTCAAAATATAGGTTATAGTTTTTTCAGATTTAAAGAATTTGTAAATGATACATAACAAATATATTATAATTATCAAAACAATGGAGAAAAGAATTATAAAGTAAATTCATAGTATAATGAAATCTGTAATATAAACTAATTTTATCAAGAATTATTTAAAGATAAAGAACCATTTAATATACATAAAGAATTTGAATTTAAAATTATTAACTTTTTAATTTTAATATTTTTTTTTTAGAAATTAAAAAAGGAAGGAAAGTGATATTCTATACAACATATAGATTAGAATAAAATATTTAAAATATTAAAGAAATTTTATTCTATTACTAGTATTGATTATATAAATAGGCAATTTCTTATAAAAATATAAATAATGAAAGGTTAAATTCTCAGGCTATTATAAATATTATATTACATATTTATTATTTTATGAATTTTTAATAAATTGAAAATTTTTTATTTATTTAAATTATTTTAAATATCATTTATAAATGAAACTCAAAAACTACAAGTTTCAAAATTAATATTTCTAAATATATTTAAAGTATTTTATTTTAATAAATTATAAACAAATTTATTTTATAATATTAATTTTTTAATAGAATATAAAAACAAATTTAAATTAATAAAAAAGAAATATTAATGATAATAATAAAAAATAAAACTAAAATAATTTAAATTTTAAATTTTACTCATTAATAAGCATTTTCTAAATTTAAAATACTATATTACAATTTCCTTAAAATACAAAAATAAAAATTTATATTTTATTAAAAATATTAAATTTAAATTTATTAAATGTATTAAATATTACTATTAATATTATAAAATAATAAATAATTTAATAGTAATATATAAATAAATATATATAAAGTTTAATATTAAGTAAAAATAGTTATAATCATATAATTATATAAATGATATTAATTAGAGAATAATATTATTTATAATCAAATATTAGTTATATGTTATATAATAAAATCAGATAAAATTTATATTAATTAGATATGTATTAATAATCATGATTTTCTTGATATATATTAAAAAGATTATAATAATTTTGAACATCTATAAATCTAAAAAATTTCAATTAATATTATAATGATATAAATTTAAATTTAAACAAAAAAATTAAATAAACTAATTTATTATTACTTTATAGAATACTTCTTTGATTAATTATTGATATTATTAACATTAATAATAATTTGCTTAAATATTTTATTTGATTTTTTGTTTTATTTATATAACGCAAATAAAAGATTTACTAATTAAGAGTTTACTTTTTATATGAATTATAATAAATTTAAAGATCAATTTTTAAAATCAAACTTTGAGGCAAATTATATTATTATATTTAATATAAAAGATTTTTTTTATTATTATATAAGTATCAATAAATAGTTTAAGATTATATGTTTAAAAGAAATTATAGTTAAATTTTTAAATTTATATCTTATATAAAAATAGAAATAATTCAAAAAGAATAATTCTGAATCAAGTTTAAAACTAATTATAAATTTAGTATCTGAATCTTTTTGAATTACAAATTATTTTTAATTAATTTTAATTATTAAACTAAAATTGATTTTAAACCAATTTTAAAAATTAGCTTAAAATTAAATTATCATCAAATTAAAGATTATATAAAATGAATTTATTTAATAACTAATTAAAAAAATTTTTAATTGATTATTACATGATATTCTATTAATTTAATTTAACACTTAAAAATTTAATTTATTTAAGAAAATTAATGTAAACCTAAAAGGAAATCAAAATAAAACTAATAGAACTATTTCTATACTTAATCTTATATTATATAACAATTATCTTAATAATAATTTTTGAATAATATTATCATTATTAAATTTTAGAATAATAATAAAATTTTATTAATATAAAATAAATAAATATATAGTTGGATTCTTAATCTAAAATATATATTAAAATTATGTATTAATAGTAACAGATTATTATATACTATTAATTTTTATTATTTAATTATAATTACAAATTTGAATTTATTTTAAGATACAAATTTCACTAATTAGTTCATAAAAAGTTATATCTTATTTTTACAATACTATAAATTATATAATTTATAATCCTTATATTTATAAATAATATGTAATAAATCCTATAATTAAGCAAATATAAAATTATAAATTAATTTTTTAAAATTTTAAATATATAAAATGCTCTAACATAATTTTGATTATTAATTTTAAATCAGATTTATTTTTAAGTGTAAATCTAAGATTATTTGACTAAATTCATTTTAAATTTAATAAACGTCTAAATTTTTAGTTTTATTAATTTTTAATATAATTTTATTATTTTTATAAATTTTGATATAATTTTATCTTTCTTTAGTTTTGCAAAATTTTAATAAAGTTTTAATATAGTCAACTCTCTATAAATATGCTTTCTCAAAAATATATATTTATATAGTAAGTACTTTTATAAAAAAATATAAATTTTTATATTAGATTATATAAATAAAATTGTAGTAGCTAAGTTATATAAATGCTATAAAAATAATTTATTTTTATATTTTTTATCATATAATATTAGCTAAATCATTAATCTTTATTCATAAATCTATTATTATAGTTAATAACAGTATTAAAATTTTAAATTATTCTTATATGTACAGAGTACACATTATTTATAAAAGTTTGTGCATGTTCTATAAAGTCATATATATTATATATATAAAAGTAAGTATTATTATAAATATTGTACCTATCATCTTTAATTATATGTATAGAAATATGCTAAACTAATTTTTATTACTGATCCTTAAAATTTAAATTATTTTAAAACTTTGCTTTTTTTAAAAAAAATACTTTTTTAATATATTCTCTTTTTTTTTTCTTCTTCTTATACTCTTTCTTTTTATTCTTTTTCTTTCTTTTTTTCTCTTTTTTTTTCTTTCCTTTTTTTTTTCTTTTTTTTTTTTTTTTGTAAAAATAATATTCTTAGACTTTTAAGATTTCTGAATATAACTCTAAATTTGATTAGATCAAATCAGTAGATTTTCAGATTAATATTAAGTTAGGTTAATAAGTTAATCTGACCTGATCTGATCTGATAAAAATTTAAATCAATCAATTATTATTCTTAAATGATAGTTTTATCATTTAATTAGAATGATAATTTTATTATTTAATAATAATATTTTATCATTTAATTAAAATGATTCATTATTATTCTTAAATAATAATTTTATTGTTTTTGAATAATGATTTTATCATTCAATTAGAATGATTTATTATTATTCAAGAATAATGATATTATCATTTAAAAATGATATTTTTATCAATTAGATTAGATCAGGTCAGGTTAAATCAAATAAAAATTTAAATCATATCAGATTTTTATTTGACCTATTCTGATCCTCTTAGTTCAAGTAACTTGATTGATCTAATCTAAACTAACTTATTTAAAGCTTTATTTCTAAACTTTTTAAAATTAGAAATTAAGATTAAAAAAAATAAGTTTTGTAGGCTTAGAATAGATATATTTCTTTAGAAATATTTATTAACATTCCTTTTTTATAAAAATGTTAATTTTGAATTTTGAACTCTTGTTGATCTAGCTTTAAATGCTACAATTTCTCTTCAATTTTCAAATAGTTATTATGCATAATATATATATCATATTTGATAAAATTTACTAAAATATTTAAAAGTTAAATTAGAAAATTAATATACTGATTTTATTAAAATTTTTTATAAGTATTAGAATAGCCTTTATAAATTACTAATTTTGTAATAAAATAATTTATTAAAAAATTTTCATTAGTTAAAGTTATTTTTTTAAAATATTATAATTATCTAAATTATAGATATAATGTTATTTATAATAAATTTTACTGCTGATATTAAAATACTTTATAAATTAAAGAAATAAATAGTATTATTAAAAAAATAATTAAAGTAATTTCACTTTATATCAACTTGTTGAATATTTAGCTAGATTACTTATTACAGAAATTAAATAGAAAAGATTTCACAAATATCAATCTTTAACTATTAATTCTATTTTAGTATCAAAGGGTAAAAATCTTTTTTTATT